TTTACGCATTGCTCAGCGAGTCTTCAGCAGACAAATGCAGTAGTTCTTCCCAGTGTTTCCTATCTGATGTAAGTATTTCTCTTGGACCCCGTAAGCGTTTTATCCTGCAACATTTTTGAACTCATTTGAGGCGATTAATCAATCTTACGCCTTGTGGCATTATATAAATTTACACTTTGTTGTATCTTCAATCATTTGGGGCGGGAGAGAAAGAATAAAATTGCAATTTCAACTTTAAAGATTGTAGAGAGCTACTTTAACATCAAAAAAGCTAGTTTCATCAGATTTATCGATAACTGATATTGTAAGTTGGGAAAAAATAAGTAAAAATTAATTAAATACAAAGACCACTTTGTTATACCTGTAATATATTGCTGTGCCATCTTTTTGCTCTTCGTATGCTATGCGAATGTTGAGATTATTGTCGACGTACACCTCTGGGAATCGTTTGTTTCTCATCACAAGTGATAGCGTATTTGTCAGTAAGTTGTAAGAGTAAACGTTGTACATCCTAAATGCAGATGCAGGTACAATGTAAATTTGGGCAATGGCTTAACTGCAGCAGCTCCCTTGAATAGAAAAAAGAAGTCTTCGATGGAGTATACCATAGCGCTTACGATGAATTTTCGTCGGTGATGCCGATGAGCAAACGAGGGTCAACGTAGTTGTTCCCAAGAATTTTAGCCTTTACCCCCCTGCGATCGGAGATAGTGGAACGACCCAAGCGATTGGTTTTTACAGCTTTCTGCAAAAATCTTAATGTAATACAAATCAGCTGTCTAAAAAAAGGAAATGAACCTGTGAGACGTTTTTCGCAAAAAGCATATGATTTTCGTCGCCGTTGTTGTCTTGTACATAGTATATCATTTCAGGTACAGCAGTAAATCCATAGCCTCAAGAAAACGCTTATTATCATTGTTCTACAAGAATCGATGATAAAGTGCATTAAATGCAGTAGTACCCAATACGTCAGTCTTAGTCTCAAAAGTGACTTGACGTATGCTGCCATAAGGAAGAGATCGGAGAAACACATTGCCGATGTGATTTCTGTCTCGTTTTATAAACGCTAAGAACCTAAAAAGTCAAAAATTAGCGGTCTGTAAGGAAGCCTTAGCTTGAAGAAAGAAGGTGCACATTACTTGCCATCCGGACTCAATTTAAGATTAGAATATTCGGGTGGAGAGAAGATAATTTGTCTGG